TATATACTTTTCTCTAACCTCTTTTTATTCTCAGCATTGATTGCATGAACCAGTTATTGCTGGTTATTTTAAGGACCAACTGACCTGGACACTCTCTCCATCTTCTGTTTGTGTCTGTGTGTGTGTGTGTGTGTGTGTGTGTGTCCGTGTCCGTGTGCGCGTTGGCTCTTGCAGAAGGTAGAGAGTGTGTGAACTGCGGGGCCACGTCGACTCCGCTGTGGAGGCGGGACGGTACGGGTCACTATCTGTGTAACGCCTGCGGACTCTATCACAAGATGAACGGGCAGAATCGCCCTCTCATCAAACCCAAGCGACGGCTGGTACGTCTCCACCATGTTTCTCTGTTGATGACATTTCCGTCTCTCTCTCTGTTTTTCCCCTATCCAGGAAGAAGTAGGCCTATTAGCTGCAGGAAATTGACTCGACAAGTGCAGGTCTCTGCTTTAAGATATTACCACAGAAAAAAAGTGCAGTTTTTTTTAATGCAATGACAGTGCTACTTTTTATTTGCTAAAATTGTCATTGATTCACACAGTAGGCCCCATGTATATCATAGAACGCTACCTGTGGCCATCAAAGCTTTACAGCTATTGTACGACATCTGGACTATTTCCACTTGTAGTACCTTATTTACGTCCTGCACAGTGTTATTTAACTTTTAAATATTTAATTTAAAATTGCACTGCGAGCGCCTTAGTTTTACTTTATTTAAAAGAGAGATTACATTTTCTATCTTTCATATTTAATTGAGCAAATAAAACACCCCCCCCCCCCCCCGGGATAAAACAAACAAAAAAAACCAAACAAAACAAAAGACCCCCCACTCTGATTCTAATTAAAGGAACTGAGCATGGCTGCAGTTCTGCACTCTTTACAGCATCCTTTTTTTTTTTATTTCATCTTGTAGGTGAGCCTATATTGTAGCTATAAGCAGACCTTTTTGCTTTCCAAGTGCACCTATTTTTACAGTTATTTTGGGGAAAGCCCCTCTCATCAGAGCTTACATCTCTTATGAGCTTCACAGGAGTTCCCCACTCTTTGAAAAAAAAAAAAAATCTTTCGAGGCAAAAATGGCCGTCCAGACCTCTTCTGCTCTGGACTTCTTCTCTTTGCCTCTATAATGTGAAAACCCGACTACTCAGGAAAGAGCTGCCGGATATCTGAGCAGCGCAGATAAGTCGCTTTCAACAACACAAGCCCCGCTTCCCCAGTCAAAACATAAAGGCTGAGGCAGCCCGAGCCAGGCCAGACAGAGAGCCACGACGAGAAATTGTTTAGCGTTGTAATCACCGCTTAAATACACGAGGATGCTCAGGTATGGGTAACAACCAGGTCAGTTTGACCTTGAACCTCTTTCTCGCGGAGGTGAAAAGGGTCAGGAAAAAACTGTACAGGCCAGAAAGTGAAATTTAGCACGAAGATAAGATCTGCGAGCCGAATCATTTCTCTATGAAATCACCACAACGTGTAAATACCAATCCTGTTGACCTTTCATTGCTGATATTTAAAGTGTTGGCTGCGAAGAAAAAAACAAAATGTTGGAAAAATAAGAAAACCGGTTAAACTATGATGATAGGTTAAGTGAATAAAAATAGAGATTTCAAAAGGTGTGTTCCCTCACTATGATTGGGTATTCATCAGCAGCAGGGGTTATTGGGCCACCACGTGTGTATAATTGGAAATTCCTCCCTGAGATAATGTAGTCCTTTACGTTAGCGTGTCCTCTGCGGTCACCTGTCTATTGATTGTTTTTAGAGATTATAACATCAATGTCAAGCCACTGCAGCAAACTGGCCTGTGAGGCAGGCAGCTGAAATCCATCGGAAGACATGACTTTCACTGTGGCAGGATGGAGCGAGGGTTTTACTCTCCTAGAGTAGCCTGCAGCGAAGCCAAAAATACCCACTTCTTTCTTTCTTTCTTTCTTTCTTTCTTTCTTTCTTTCTTTCTTTCTTTCTTTCTTTCTTTCTTTCTTTCTCCAAACTGTGTGCTTTTAACTGGCGTGCAATTATTGCCATGTGGTTCATTTCACCGCATCATGTATTCATATTTTGTGCGCATATTGGAAGAATCCAAAGCATACATTCCAGACGAGGCCTTTTACGTTTAATAGATGCCAAATCTATACGTTTCATCTCCTTCCTTTTCCTTTCCATTGTCTGACGTCACGTGTTGGCTTTTTTTTAAGGAGGGGGTTAATTTAATCACATTTAATAGCTCTCCCATTTCAAGGCCCTGCTTTTATGTGTTCTGTAAATATTTATTCTCCAGGAGGTATGAGCTCTACGTGGCTATTTTTAGCCCCGGGTGAAAGCAACCCTGTTTTCTTTTTTTAAATTTATTTCTTTCCTCATTGAAAAAAAATTTCAGCTTGCACTAAATGCAAAAGAAAATGCACTGGGTAGAGATATACAATGTATATACTGTCAAAATAAAAGCTTCCTGAATGTTTCAAGCAGCTTTGCGCAATGCTGGAATGAAAAATTAAAGACTGTATTTAAGCAGGTATAATAGAAAATGCATGTGTTGTTTCTTTGTTAAATCAATCGAGGATACCATGGATACAGGGCTGCTGAATTTACACCAATTTATCCCGATGACTTAAAAATTCCACAGATATCCTTGCAAATCCCTCTTAATGAGTGCCACATGGCTATTTCGCGTAAGCAAAGTTAACTAGTGTGTGTATTTTTTAAGCCATATTTAAGTGTTAAAACGAGCCCTGAATGATGGTATTAAAGCTGTTAGAATAAACCTCAGTGATGATTGGGTCATTGAGTGGTCATGTGATGTTTTTTTCTTTCCCCTTTCCCTTTTTTTGGCCTGTCTGCGTCGTGCAGTCGGCAGCCAGGCGGGCAGGGACGTCGTGCGCAAACTGTCAGACGACAACGACGACGCTGTGGCGGAGAAATGCCAACGGGGACCCGGTGTGCAACGCCTGCGGCCTGTACTTTAAACTGCACAATGTGAGTAATAAACCTTCACTGGATATCTCTCATAACTATCGAGGCTTGCCTCCAATATTTATTCGTCCAGCTCCCATCTATGTCCCCCTTCTCCTCAGATCTGCCTTCTTTATTTCTCTCCCATCACGTCCTGCTGGGCACCTTCCCCTCTCTCCCTTTGAATATTTTATCCGACTTGTCCCTGCAGAGAATTTCCGGGGCACGGCGATAACAAATACTGTAGAATTAATATGATTTATTGGCAGTAAGTGCGAATCTAAAATGTATAAGACCTAAGTGAACTAAGCCCGCAGCCGCCTTGCTTTTGAATATTAAAGAAGGGGCTTAATTAAAATTCGATTAATTTTTTTAGACCGTTTTTTTCCCCCTTCTTCTTCTTCTATTTCTAGCCTTTTGGTTCCATGCGCGCCAGGGACTCTGAGTCCCCCCTCTGACCACCAATCCGTCTGATTCGTTTTGGGTTGGTTAGTGCCTCGCCACATCATTTCACATCCTCAATCTGAAAACCCCAGGGACGCGTTTATCTCTCCCTCTCTCTCCTCTCCTGTGCACAAAGCTGTCACTTTTAATCAAACTGCCATTGTGGCTGAAACTAATAATAATAATAAGCAGGATAACTGCTCTGAGGCCACATGTAGGTAATTTTCTTCCCCCTTGTACAGACAACAGATAGAGGTTGCCTATACCCCTGTGCATAAGGGGAAGAGTATCCTGCTCTGCTGGCCAGCTTGTCACGCAAGCGCTCTCTGTTAAATCATTTTCCCATGTTACTTTTGGCACATTGTGAGGCAGTGCAGAAGCAGATTCAGACCAAGGTTAAAAGGAGAGTAGAATAATATTTCCCCGTTACATATTAGCATCTGAACTGACCCCGACCTTGGTGTAATTATGAAATTAGTTTATTTTGGTAAATCCAGACTTCTGTTGGGGTTTGCTCCCTTTGAAACAAATTCCACATTCTTCATGGAGAATTTAGTGGAGTCCCCGCTGGCCTGCATGGGCTCCTAATGTGTGTAAGTGTGAGCGTACAAAACACCTGATGGTAGCAGTCTGTTGTCCCGTAAGCTCAGATAAGAAGCTTGTGAAAACAGAAAAGTTGCCACAAACACAAGGTTGTGTTAACACCCAAAACATAGACGGCCTTCTCCGAGTAATCAGGGGTTTTCTCACTGTGCCTGTAAGGTGTCTTTCTCATCTTTTATATTTCTGAGAGATGTACAGTCCTCACACTTCTGTACGGACGCTGAGGTTTCAGGTGGTTAGCTGCTGGTTTTTGGAGGGAGGATGTGAGAGCTTGCACTGTGCATTCTGTGGGGGCCATTGACTCAAATGCTTTTTTTTTGATATGCTCGGGTATTGGTGGCCGAGCACACGCTGGAGGCCCAAGAATTGTTTCGCGAGACGGTAGACATCTCAGCATCAAAGAGCGGAGGCTAGACTGGCTTTCGGTGGGTGTAGCATGCCCTAGAACTGGAATCAGGGCACGCAAGGCAGAGAAGGTCACCCAGTATGGAGTCAAAGCTTAGCGAGTGAAACCCACATCACTGGGGGGAAAACAGATCTGTGCCCTCCACTAATCATCGAGGCCGCTGTTTAAAGAGTCAGCGAAAAATGCCAATGTCTCAGACAGCTCGAGAAATCCCTGTTCCCATTTCCCCGGGAAGAACCACTGAGAAAGATCAGGAAGCCAGTCGGCCTCATCCACCTCCCTCATAATCCTGCCCACAGTCGGAATTCCATCATCCAGCTCTCATTCCTCGCTAAAACCTATGCTGGAATATGGCAGCTGGGGCCATTTTGGCCAAGAGTCGGCCACGCGGTCGAGAAGGAGGGTGGAGAGAAGGACTTGGCCGACGCTGACAGTCGTCATGGCCATGTGTCTCTGTGGTTGACCGGCTGCACATTAGCTGCCAGACTCTTCTCCGTCTGTGTTCTGCACACGCTCTCTCCATCTTCCCTGCACCCCCCTCCTCCCCTTCATCTGTCCTTTTTCTCTCTTTTCTCTTCCTGGCATAGCTACAGCCTTAGATACAGTCCAGCTTATAGGAATCAACATTCATATCCGACCCAACACACACACACACAAACACACATTCTCACAGTATAGATAAACAATCTTGTGTTTCGGGATGGGACAGCCTGATTCGCCTCGTAATGGGACTCCATTACATATCATTATGTCTGTCCAAAACCCCAAAATCTGCCTCTAAGAGAACTAAAAAGCTCTTTGTGCACCACATTTTTCTTATTTACTCTGAAACTCTGTGACACCCCTCACTTACGGTTTGTTTTGCTTTAATATAAATCTCATACTGGAATCTTAAATTTTAAGATTCGTATCTCATGTGAAATGTTCACGAGGACCAAATACTCATCTGCCATCTTTTTCTTTCTCCTTTCGAGAGCAGATCAACCGACCTCTGACCATGAAGAAGGAAGGCATCCAGACCAGGAACAGGAAGATGTCCAGCAAGTCAAAGAAGAGCAAAAAGGCCCAAGATAACATGGACGACTTCTCCAAGAGCCTGATGGACAAGACCAGCTCATTCAGCCCGGCCGCTCTGTCCCGCCACATGTCATCCTTCCCCCCCTTTTCGCACTCTGGCCACATGCTGACCACCCCCACACCCATGCACCCCTCCTCGAGCCTCCCCTTCACCCCGCACCACCCTTCCAGTATGGTCACAGCCATGGGTTAGAGCTCCCCGCGGTGCACCACTTCTGAATCCTCAGCCTCGCCACCACCGCACCTTTCGGTACCTCTGCTGCCCTGCTTCCATATCCTAAACAACAAACTGCTTCTCGGTCCGATCTAAGCTCCCCAGTCTCACCGCCGAGCCACGGTGTGTGAGTGCGACAGGCTTTAGGCTCCTGTTCTCCTCAGTTGTATCTTATTTTTTATAAAAATCGAAGTGTACCTCTGCGATGTGAATGCTTTGCAGACTTGACTTGACTGTGGCGCACCGACCTCCAGGGGGACGTTTTTTTGTTTTCCCTCCTCCCCGAGCTGCCACCACCACATTGAGGCTGTCCTCCCAGCTGATCCACACGATAAGGAGCTCCATTTGTGTACAAAAAGCCATTTTTCCACACTTGACATCACAAAAAACTGACATTAAAAGAACTTTTGTGACGCCCTCTTCCTCAATGTCCAAACCGTACTCTCTTCACCTTGCACCTGTGTAACAGGACGCCCCCCCCCCCCACCACCACCACCACCACCCCCTTCCCGCTCCCTTGCTTCCTCTCCCTCTTCTCCTCCTTCTGCTGAAGATGAGGAGAGACAGACGTTGAATATATTTGTACAAATTGTATGAAATACAGTACATTTAATGAAGACTTTTTAATTAAGTAAGAAAAAAAGGAAACATGCCCCTGGGCAGCTAACAACAAGAAGGGTACGAGTCGCAGCAGGTGGAGAGACTTGCCACCGGAGGAGTGAGGAGAGGCTGCCTCCGAGTCCCGGAGGAAAGAGAAAAAAAAAGGGAGGAGGAGGTGAGGGAAAGACTTTTGAGAAAGGGCAGGCCTCGGTTTTTGCCTGCATGAATTGTGTTGCATTAAGTTTGCAGAGAGTCAGCGGCTCCGGCTGCAGGCATCTCTCTTCTTCTTCTTCTTCTTCTTTTTTTTTTTTTTTTTTTGGATGTGCTATAGGTCTCGGGCAATTGGTTTGTGTTGAAGCGCGCACGTACAAGCACACACATACACGCACACACTTACACACACTCGCACACACTCGCACACACTCGCACACACTCGATCACCTGAAAGACTTTCTTCCTGCCCACAGATTATATGCATTGTGAAAAAAGTTCCTGTATTTGTTATTTGTATGTATAAATCAGAGTACCAAAAATACGAAAGAAACAAAGATGTAGAATTATTTCTTTATGTTATGCAGACTGAATGGTTGTAAAAAATTTAATAATAATCACTAGTGTAAAATATGACTGCTTTTTTGTTTCGTAATTTTTTTTTTTCCTCTTTGAAAATAATAAACTAGTTTAATCTCTGTTGACATGTTAGCTGTGGTTGAGAGCTGTCTTTTCTGTCTGCCTCTGTGCTGTGTGATCTTTGACACATGCTCACACACCCCCACCCACTCACCTACCCACCACAACCACATCTAGTAACGCCCACCTTTTTTTTTTTTTTTTTTTTCACCCAGCATTCACAGGAACAGCTCTTAGGTCAGTTGAGCACAAACAGGAAGTGAAGGAATAAACAGCAGCAATGGAGGAACAAATCAAATGGCAGGGTCAGACAGGCCACTATGCGCGGGGCACCATGGGCTCAAGTGGCTTTTGTGTCATCCGACAAATACATAAACACATCGCGACCGACATGCAACAAAAAACCATCTGTCTTACACTGAGCGAGAAGGACCCAACAGGAAGAAGCATCGTTTCAGGCATTTTTCTTGCATCCTAATAATGACTAATAATTAAGTCAGATAACAAATACAGGCTGATATTAATTTAAGCTGAGAAATACTGTATATTCCAATCATATACATATAACAATACCACATAATAATATATATAAAATAGCCACATGGCTGTGTACAACACCCTTTAAAGAAAAAAAGTTAATGAACACTTCTAAACATTGAGTTAACCTCACTGAATGTATCACCTCTAGTAGTGAGAAATGATTAAAGCGTTAAGCAGGAGTGGAAAAGAGGAACTACTGTATGTGTTTGTTTCAACCTCTGAACCGCAGAGTGGATAAAGTTCCCTTCATCTTTAATATCATTTTGCCCGTCAGTTTATTAAGTGATCAGTTTTGCTCGTGACATTTCCACAGCTCGCACTCAAAGTAGAGTTTTAGGGCTGTTAGTGCGACTGCATGACAGTGGCCTGTGTAAAGAAGCAGGAAGGAGAGAAAAGAAGATAACGAGCTGATACTAATATGAAAGATTGCAATGCAGGGCTGCAGAGCTCAGTAATACACTGTAGTGGGTGATTAGTGTTGTTAAAGCTGGGAAGTTATCACCATATGCTCTGTACATGCAATCCAAGACATGATGCATATATGATTTATTCCATTCATCCAATGAGTATGACTTTGGACGCCATCAAGTTCTCAATTGAAGAATTTCCTGCATGTTATCCCCCTTCATTTTTCTTTACCATCATTAACCTTCCAGTAATCTACAAGCGGCATCTTCTTCACATCAACGCAGCTACAGTGGTTAGAGTCACGTCAGTTCTCTTTGCTTGCATGATGTTTTATTCTGTGTATGCAGAGCAGTTCGTGACACGTTGGCTTTAATGAAATCCGCAATGAAAAAGTACATCTGCCGTATCTTCCATCTCAGAATGCACATCAAAATTTTTTAAATAAGTACGTAAACGCAGCAGAACAGGCAAAAGATTAAAAAGAATGTTAAGTATTTGTTTTTGTTTTTTTTAGCTACAATAATCCCATTTAAAAACTGATAATCATGAAAATGATGGGAATATGGAAAAAAAGCAGTAAGTTCTAAAGGATCACATTTGAATCAAGAATTTAGGAAAGACTTGTGAAGAAACTCTGGTGAAAATGGTGAAAGTGACGTGTTTCCACAGTGAGCCTGGACAGCCGTGTTTATTGTACCTGACTTACACATTTAAGCAGAAAAAAATACTAAATGTAAATGTGGTAAAACAAGGAGAATCTTTGCCTTTCAGCATCATTTTTACCCTTTAAAGCCCTCCAAAAACGTACAAGAAAACAAAGCAAAAGAGATCGCGCTGATGCTAATTTGTTACAATCTGCGATAATAACAGGATGCAGGAGTTTTAAAAAAAAAGACACCCACATCAAGCTCAGATGAGAGAAAAAAAGAAATTAATTTATTTTTAGTTTTATTATGCCACAAGTTAACCAGATAGTCTTACAGCGAACTTCTGCACGTAATCGGCCTCTCAAGGTTTGATCCTTTTGCATGCAAAGCACTGAAATGTCGTCTTTGGCTCGAAACCTCTAAACAACTCTAAAGATCTAACTACCCCTAAACTGTGCACTGTTGCAAACCATTTCCAGTATCGAAATATATTTGCACAAGTGGAATGCCTGCTTCCCGGCAGAAAAGGCCATACAGGAGTCAGGTATTTGGCATCATTTGTTTCTGAGCTGCTGTGACCAATCAGGAGATTTGCTCCTGTGTTTTAATAGTGAGGTCAAGGGGGCATGTGGAATGAGAACAGAAATAGTGAGTGTATGCGTGTGTGTATAGAGGGATTGAGGAGAGCTTTGCCTTGTGGTGGGACCTCATGGCCTCTGGCTGACCTTTTCCCCGCTGGTGTCTGGCTGTGGACGTCTGCCAAGGGTGACTGGAGGTGCTGCAACTGGCTCAGGTGAGGATGAGGCACTCTCTGTGATCCCGTGTCCTCTTCCCTCCGTCATCATCGTCATCCCCGTCACAAACCACTTATTTCTGTCCGTCTCTCCTTCTGTCTGTCTCTCTTCCTGCATCTGCCTCTCGTCTTTCAGGTGAGGATGATGACAGATTTGTGGGTGTAATTGGCTCTTAGGAATAGTCCATCTTCATCCACGCTGCACCGCTGTCACACTCAGCAGAGGTCAGGTCAAATTTGGGGTTGCTAAGAATTTGATGGCTTTGAAAACCACTCTTCTTCCAAAAAGATGCAACATTTCCTGCTTGGAATTAATATGTGAAAAGGCAATACCCATTCAATAGCAGGGGGTATTCAAATAAACTCTGAATATTTTAAGTAAAGACTGAATGAGAGAAAAAAAACATCAGAATTTCCCCCCAATGCTAAAAATGATCACACAACAGGAAGCAGAAACCTATTTGTACAGGATGTGTTGATTGTTCCCTCACACCTTTCTTTACATTACATATGGTTTATGTGCAAAACGTTTCATGTCTTGGTTTAGGTGTGTTCTAGTTTCTCAGCACATACAAACGCAGTGTTGTATTAGTAATACTGGTTTGAAAGTGGGACCAATCTGTGTCAGTGTGGTCTCATGTGGGGGAACAGGTTGTGTATTGTGGGCTAATGGTTCTGTTACTGTCTCACAGCTCAAACCAATACCTGTTTAACAGTGTATAGTATTTTTTTCTTAGCTACATATTTTGAGGCCTGGATGAAGAACACCCCCCCCCCCTGCCAAAAAAAAAGAAAAAAAGAAAACAACAAAAATAAGCGTGGGTTCGGCTTAATGGTTATCCACATCCCATACCACACGCTCTACAGTGTGTCATATAACATTAAAATTTGGCACTGGTACGAAGAGACAGACAACACTGTCTAATGACAAGTCGATTAGAATGTGATACACTCAACTTTGTGAAAATTGTTCTACTGCTATTTGTTGTCTGTGCAACTCTTTTTCCTAAGAGTGATACTGAAATGCTTTATAGCAGGGTAATCAATGCAAACTCTCTCTCTGTGTAGCCAAAATGTTCAAAACCACTCAAATCTAGAGACGTTCTCTAGATTTTAGAGAACCATGCTTGTGACTATACCTTGTGGCCATCTGGCTTTGATAAAAGTTTTGAACAAGCTGACCAAATCTGTGATGTGTATGCTATCATATAATGTAGAATGACATGACTTTGCCCTCAATTAAACAAGCAGCAAGAGACTACCTTCAATCAAACACTAAAGTCAGCTCCATTAGGCACATGTTCCTCCTTTAGCTATCTCACTATCAAAGGGATTGTTACACAGTCAGAAACTTTTCTGACACCACTATGACTAAGAAAACAGTCATTGGTTTCTACAGTCATTGGACATAACAGATACAACTATCATCTACATACCCCCAGTATGAACTCACAGCAGTTGCTTAGCTTATGAGCACCTCTGAAAGCCTTGAGTTAGCATGCTATAGTTTATTTACTGCAAAAAAAATTGAAGTCTCTTGGTACTTTCTGGCAGTTTTGGTGTACCACTAGGCTAGCTACCCAAGCTATGCTACCCAAACACTAGCTATAGCTTCATCTTCTTGGACAGACTCTCAGCGATGAAGCAAGTGTTCCCTACTTTGTGCAACAAATCGAAAACAAACAACATAAACACAGAATACAGTTAGTACCATTTCTAGCTAACAGTGTATACGATCTAGTGTGTGGATTTAGCTGGTGTAGTGTCTGAAATTAAACACTGCAAGCTTTACGTGTAAAAAAAATGACACCTCGAGGTATACTAAACAATTCATATACAGTGAAGACGTAAGCGTAACGCACATAAACTGCAAAGAAT